GTAGGACACCTATCGGATCCGACTATCGGATTGATCGACCTGGGTATTGAAAATGATTTGGAAGTATGGAGGTTCAGATATAGAGGAGGGCTGTCATCTAAAACCAATTGGAGGATGACAATCACACGAATAATCTCTATCATAACTTCTAATAAACGAACAGAGACCAAATGGTATACTTTTTTTCTTTTTTCTTTTTCTAATTTCTAATTTCTAATTTCTTTACACTTCTTTTTTCTTATTCCTTACTCACTTTCTTTTCTTCTTTATCTTCCACTTTTTTTCTAATTGCTCTCTCAATTATCTTTATTTTTTTTCTTCTTGCATACTTTAATATGCTTAACTCAATTTTTTTAGGTTTATTTTAGTAACTTTGCTCTGTCTCACCCTAAACCGTAAGGTATGGGTATTACTTACTTACTTACTACTAATTTGGATAAATACATCACAAGGAAAGAGATGACAACATAACAAAAGTATACGCAACCTATCGAATACTTTCAAATTTTTCCATTCAAAGAATACTTCAAAGTGATAATTTTGTTAAAGACGATGAATTTTTTCTTTTTCATTTATTATTGCAATGAAAGAAGCATTTTTCTTTCTTCTTTATTTAAAAATTTCCCTGCGCACTGCATATCCACGATGTGTATCTTTTTTAATTGTTTAAATATGAAAACAAAACATGTGCATGAGAAGACGAAAATAAATAAGACTTTCAGTTATAGATGATCATCATTCATGCGACCATTATTGTCAAAAGTTTTTCCTAATTCATCATCTGTTATCCATATTCAAATATTCTCTGCAATTATTTGTCTCTTGTACACTATTTATTTCATTTTATCAATTTTTTATCCACTCTCGTTTGGAAAACCTATTGTCGAATTGAGTTATAAATCTTTGCAGACAAATATTACTATAAATGCTAATATTACAAAACTTATTTCAAACAATGAAAATAATCTGATAATTCATACAAGTAACCTGAACAATGAGAGTTTCATTTGTGATTATGTAAAAACAAATACTACACATAAGAAAAACAATATTTCATCATTTGACGATCATCGTTTAAATGCACTTCGTCGTAAGTATTCTAGATTTTACTTATTTTTCGATAGGAATGTCAAATATTGATGTCAATACTGATAGACTAGCACCGACTGTTACTTTATCACTAATAATACAGACATTGAAGTCCACTAAGAGCACTAACTTACCAATACTAATTTACAGTGAAACACTCAGACATTGACTGTATCAGAGTATTTATCTTTTTTTTGTATTTTTCCTTGCATTCAGTAACGCACAATATTCAAATGAGTACTTCTATCATACGAGACAAAAAAATATCAGAAAATCTAGACAATCTATAGATTTCGGCGACAATTCGAATCTTTTTTTTCTCATCTATAAATTGTAGTTAGTAAATATGAGTATGAATATCGTTAATATTTAGTAAATTGATGCTACTAAATCACTACTGTTATCCTATAGTATTTATATCAATGTATTTTTTGAATGCTATTAAATTGGTCGAAAGAAAAAATAGCGAACGAGAGAATAGCGAAAAACCATGGCGAAAAAGAAATAGCGGATCGAAAAAATGTTGAAGAACAAAATGGCGAACCAAGAAAATGTCGACACAGTCTATTGCAAAAATGACCTGGCAATCATATGAATTTGTTGAAAAAAAGTGGATTTCAATATTCTCGATCAGCGCGACGAAGACATTTCATTGCATAGAGAAAAAATAATCCATGTCTAGGTAGATCAACAAGAATAATAGTGAATCAAAAATATTCAGACATAAAATCAGCAACAAAGCTATATGTTTCTTTATGTGGGTAGAATGTGGGTGTGGATATCAATCTCCGCTTCATCTCTAATCTCGAACTCCACATCTTACTGCTTAATAGAGGCACTTAATGATATCTGCAATATTTTCGACATTTTTCAGAGGAATATATTTTTTCGCGATTTCTATACGATTGACTTTTTTTTCGCCCTAATTCTTTTCGACATTTTTTGTGTCGATAGTTTTTCCGCTATTCTTTCGTTCGCTATTTTTTCTACCAGCCATCTTGATACATATCTATTTTTTAGCATATTGTGATATTCTTCCAATACCTCGAAATAATTGGATTCCACCTGAACGATATATAGAAAGTGATATTGTATTTATTATTTATACAGGTGCCTCCTTTTATCAAAATCGTGCAATAGCAACTCGAGATACATGGTTATCACGTGTTACACATAAATATTTTTTTAGTTCAACACCATATCCATCATTACCTGTCACTGTTATTGAAGGAGCAGGAGAAAATTATGTGTCTAATATGAAAAAGTTATATCAAGGCATGAAAATAGCTTATCAAGAACATAATCAAACAGCAAAATTTTATTTTCTAGCAGGTTGTGATACATTTGTAAATGTTCCACATTTACTCAAACGTCTTGATCACTTTAATCATACTAAACCTCTTGTTATTGGTGGTTATCCTTTCGGTCATTCATGTTTTAAAAAGAAGAACCAAACGATTGCAGGCGTAACATATCCATCAGGTGGTGCTGGTTTTTTTCTTAGTTCTGCTTTGATGGAAATGATGTATCCAAAAATAGATTCATTTTTTCAAGATCATTGGCCAACAGAAGAGGTACCTTATAGTGATGGTAAGATTATATTCTAGATTCTTTTCTTTTGAATATATACATACATAAGAATTTATTTATATAGTGGCTCTTAACTGTCTTGCAGCATCATTAAATGTTCAACCTTCAATTGTTTCAGGATTTTGGGCTTTTACTCCACAAGAAACAGTAAAACGTGATGGACTATCAAAGTTACGTGCTGATCCTGAACCAAATACATTTCATTATGTACCACCAATATCAATGTATATTCTCGATGAATTCTATGTTTTTCAACATATTGATCGATTAGCAAATGATAATAATTTAAATGAACTTGTAAAATTTACTCGACAATTTGTTGCTGCACATTATGAATTATTACGTATTAAACAAAATGAATGTACATTACCACCAGTGAAATCAACATAAACATAAAATTTATTAAAAACTTATGAAGAACTACCGTCAGGTCTTTTATTCTATTATAATATATTCATAGTAGATAAGAGCAAGTTATATACTAATGTTAATATAGAACATCATAGTTCTATATGAAAGAAGATTTATAAGATTTTTGTGATTTAATCTAGTAAATAAAAAAAGTAATCGCTATTTCCATTCATATCTGCAAAATCATTAAAATGATAATTACATTCTAGAGAGAAGGTCAAATAATTTAAAGGAATCCTGTATTTACTCTGAAATAATCCTAATATAGACAGAAGCCATACTTATAAAAGTTTGTTTTACTAATATAAGAAGTTTTGAATAAATAAAATTACATAATATTTCCTTAATGATACATTTTCATTATATGCACAGCATAAAAATGAGTTATAAAAAAAATCATTGATGGATATAAATAGCTAAAACTTTCATGATGCTGATGCAATTTATTGTCATTGAAATAGTGTTTTTTTAAAGTAAAGGAAAAAAGTCCGACACTCAGGAATTGTAGAAATACATTGAACAAGTGCCACAAATAAATTATCATTTTCTAACAAATGATGATTTTTAAACTTGAGTAAATGTGAGTGAAACATATTATGGATGAACAGCAAATGTAACTGTTGTTAAGTAAGCAAATAAATATTGAACGAAAAGTAATACAAAAGAAATGCCTATCTTTCTTTTAATTTAATTGTATTATCAATACCAATATTCTTCATTACGCAACATCACAACTGATAAGTGAACATAAGAGAGAAGATGGAACTTAAACAGAAACAACAAATTGCTAAACACTAAGAAAGGTTTAGTAAATTGCTTTTTCACTTTCATGAATAAGTACAACTGTACTACTTTTAAAGCTACTTCAATCTCAAACAAATAATATAAATCAACTATATCGGTATATATTGGTAATTTCAATAATACTAATTCAATGGGTGTTTCAGGAATAATGGACCTCCTTGTATGTTAATGATAACTCTTTTAATACTCGTTAATTCCGCTTCATTTATTTTCAAAAACTTTGCCTTTTGAATTCTCTACAAAATAGCAAATTCTTTTATTAATGTAAATAACAGCCATTTTTGTTCAGAACATGCTGCAAACAAACCACTCGACGATAAAAAATTTTCTTAAATAACTTTTTCTGAGTAGATATTTCAGTTGTTTAGTAAGAATATCTATTGATGTTATCTTTTATCAATTGATGGAAGTAGCCAATTCCTTCAAATTTAAATAGCCTAAGATTTAAATCTG